ACATGCATTTGAACCTGTGACCCATAGGTTCTGCAGACCATCACAAATCCCTTGAGACATACAGTTCCCCATAGCCTCGCAGGTTGTTTTTAGTTAGACAAATTCAAATGGCTGCCACAAAAGCTTAATCTCTTTCCAGCCACACTCACGCTGAGTGTCAATAGGAAAAAGTCCCATGAATACGCCTGATAATTACAGAGCTGTGGCTGTAGCAAAGAACAAAGTATAATGCAGGCTTGAATACTCAGGAAATTGACTGCTGATATGTTTCCATTCATTGTTTTGTTCCCTGTTCTCAGTGTTATATTAAAATCTCCTACTAAGAATGAGCTTTCTTGTTTAATGGAACTTGTCAGTTAAAGGAAATCTACTAGAGTTGTTTGATCTATTCTTTAAAAAATAATATTAATTGCAAATTTAGCACACTATCTTAGTAAGCAAATCATTTGAAAACCAAAGTGGGCATTTTTGGAACTTGTTATCCAGAAAAAATCACGGCCCATCACTTTCTGAGTCATTCACTGCCCCTTTGGTCCAGCTATTGAGTCCTGGCTGCTCACTTGGTATGGTGATCGATCATACCAGCCACCTGACACTGTTTTCTTGACTGTGTCAGAGGACAGTGATAGGAGGGAATCACAAAGAGTAAACATGGCGTGAACCTCTGGTCATAAGAAAATTTGGGCAGCTTTGCAATTTGTGAGCATTTTCATAACATTCTGACAGCCATATCAACTTACTCAAGTGTGACCTCACACCCACAGGAAAACACGCTCAGTGCTTCTGTCTGCCTCTCTATTAGTGTAACTAGCTGTCTATTTTAATTCCATCTGACTCCTAATTAAATACTGAATCTGCATGTTTGCTATTCATCCTGATTCCTAGTATGTGCCCTCACACTAGAAATCTTAACATCACGCTTTGAAACATCCACTGCTGAATCTGGATTTCCAAATTCCCACTGTTCAATGATATTTAAATCTAGAGGTTTTCTTTGGTTCCTTGCAGACATAAAAGAACCACTAAGAAAAATCAGTGCTAGTGGTAAATTAGGATTTCATATAAGTAAGCCAAAGTCTGTCCAGTTATTTCAATTTGTTGGTTTTGAATCCTCAGCAAAAATCTGGATTGGTTCACAGAAACATTTACTTTGTGAGTGCCTTCCTGCTTCCAATTATATCAGAATGATGGAAGAAAGGGGAAATAACTGATTCCAGGGTTCATGTATTTAGATATAATATACTCTATCGGTGGTCAATGCTTTTTGTTGGGCAGTCTCAGAGGCTTTTGAAAATGCTCAGAAACCACAATGCATGTCAGTGTGTTCACAGGTGCCATCACTTCTAGGAACTGGACTTCACAAGTTATAAGGTCCTTCCCAAGAGGCAGTCAGCACTGCAGCAAAGCCCAAGCATCCTCCCATCTTAACAGCTCTGGCAGGCACTCAGAGATGCCTCCCGTCCCTGGTGACAGCAGCAGCTTAGTTTGTACTTGTGCCCATTCACGTAATTTGCATCACCTTGACCTTGCTGGAAACGCTGCCCCTGTGCTACATGCCTCCATCAACTTTGCTGACACAGAACAGCCATCAATGGACTCAGGGCAGCGAGACACTCCAAAAAGGTGCCTTAATGAAATGACATGCCTCAGCCGTGGCCATTCATGCTCTCATGGAGCCCGGGCTCTGTTTCTGGCTATGTGCTACCCTCCCTTACTCCTGACTAATTCAGGCAGCTCGAGTCACGGGAAACTCCTCTAAAATAAAACCGTTCCTACACCACCCCAATCCTGTGAGAAAACAAGGGCAGAACTGTTCAGAACATCCCCAGGGAAAAGAAATCCAACCAGGAGCTGACCTCCTTCCAACCCTGGGTGGTGGGGGCTGAGGTGTGCCCCCCCACTCCAGCACCCCGGGTCATTCCAGCACCTTCTCTTCACCCCTCCCTCAGCAACAGCCTCCCACACGGCTCCTGCCTTCCTGCGGCCCATGAAGAACCCTCTGTGTTCTCCTGTGAGTCATGCCAGCAGGCTGCAGGACGGTGACATCAGCCCTCGGTGGGGCCGAGCAGGCCAAGGGTTTGTTTGGGGCTTTGTGCTGGGTATGAGGGACAGGACCGTGTGGTGGAACATCAGCACATGCTGCAGACACCTCTTCCTTCCATGGGGCTGGTGCTCCACCTGAGGCCAGGGCACAGAGGGTGCGGCTGTGTTCCAAGATTACAAAAAGAGCTGTTTATGGGCTTGAAATTACCTTTCTGCAATACCGGTGAACAATTCCCTCTTCCAGGAAAGCTGCTTTGTAGTACCGCAGGAAAGCTCTTCCACCGGCAGCAGTGCAGCCCCATAGCTCTGACCAGAGGCTGGCACAGGTATTTCGGTCAGGAGATCAAATGCCTTTATGACCTTGAAGGACACACAGAGTCAGCTCAAGAGCTCTCAGCTGTACAAACAAAATGCTGCCACCTCAGTGATAAGAGGGGAGGGTGTCCGTGCCAGGGCAGAGCAGGGGGGAAGAAGGATGCAGCAGATAATGGTGAGCTGGGGAGCCTCGTGCAGCTCTGGTGCTGCCGTTTCAGGAGATAGGCACTGTACACACTTCAGGCCAGTCCCCTCCCCTGGTGGCAGAAGCAGCCAGCCTGGCTTGCCAGTGCTTTGCTACAGACAACGTTTGCAGTGAAGCATTTTTTTTACCCATTTGCTTCTTTGAGCATTGCTGTAGGTCAGTGCTGGCGCAGAGGGGTTTGCCACCAGGGCCAGGTGTCAAAAAGCACAGCCATCTCAGTGTCCAGCAAGGAAGAGTGCCAGGTGAACTCCCTCCATCTGACATTGCTTTAGAACACAAGTAAGACAATGAGGCAATCACAGGTCAAGAGGCACAAACCAGACATCTCAGTTCCAGTGAGAAGAGTTCTGCTTTTTCTCTGAAACACTGTTCAGAGCCCACTATTTTGGCTTAGAATACAACTCCAACCTGCAGTTCTGCTTTAGATTTGACTAAACCTCCATGAAAAGGTCAAACACGTTTTTGAGATTCCTACACAAGAGCCTGATGGCTCCTATGGCTTTCTGAGACCTTTTTTTTATTCACAACACTTCTATTGCCTGAACCCAAATCCTTCCTATCCTCCAACCCTGGCTAAGACAATCTGTAGCCAAGCAACAGCCCCTTATTTTTTTCCTTCTAGACACACAGAAGCTGAATTCTAGACACACTGCTGAATGAAGTAAGGTTTCATCAGCTAGTCTACTGATTTGCAGATTTTGGTGGCTGTCACAGGGTTGCCACCATCAGCCTCTCTGCCACACAACTCTTGGGCCCTTTGGCCAGGCCTGTGCAGTGGCTCTTTAAAGCCATGCTGATCAGGAAACCGAGCTAGTTGAAATGAATTGGAAAAAGAAAAGAAAAGAGAAGAAGGTCCTTCCTATTTTACAGGGTGCTTTGTTCATGGTTTTTGATCCTTATCAGTTCCTGGTATGGCTCGCTGCAGAGTCACAGAAATTGTTATTTGGGCACAACTGGGAGAGATCTGTGCTAGAGCGAAATGTTGGTGAAAACATCAGGGATGGAAACACCTCCAGGTACTATTACTACGGAAGCTTCCTTGTCTTCAGTCCGCGGCCAGAGTTTCCTATCTCTGATTGACATTACCCACGAGATAATGGTAACTTTCCAGTAAACAGCCAATTCATTTCACAATTTGTACATCATGACACATCCCCCACATACCAGAAAATCAGCTCTACAGACTCCTTTAGAGCCTTAAAAGGTTCCTTACGCTTCAGTTTTAATTTTTAAACGACCATAAGCATTCGACCGAGCTGTAAGCAATTAAAACAAGACACCACTTTGGCAATAAACAAAATATTTTCCCCAGAATTTGCTTAGCTGCCCCATTCATGGACCTGTGCCTTTGGAATGGGGAATGCTTTGGGATTCCAAAGAACACAAATAACAACATCAAGGCATTCCATTTTACTGAACAAAACAGTGATATACCAAAACACTCATGATACATTATCACTGCCTGTGCAGGAGTGTGGGTGGAAGGCTGCAAGAAGAGACAGATAGAACAGCTCCTACACGTGCTTTTTTCCTCTGTGCTATTTGCCTTCTGCCCAAGAAGCGCAGCAAATATATTAATACCCAACTGAAAAATGAGCTGAGGTAATTCTATCTATGAGCATGTGATTGGTCCCGCTGCCACAAATGTTTTCCCTCTTGGTCCGTATCTGAATCTCACACTGACTGACTCACACTGCAGCCACATACGTCACTACTACCCGGCAGCATCAGACCATCATTTGTTTCCTTTTGGAACGGGATGTTCTATAACAGCTCCAACTCCCACTCGACGGTTTATGAAATTGCAGTTCTTTCACATGCCTCCTTTGTTCCTTGTTTATGAGGTGTTAAAGCAGGAGCAGACAGCGGCCTGAGCTCAGGGATGCTACATCTGAAACCAAAGGGATTTGGCTTTCAAGAAGATGGAGGTGAGATGGTTCTCGGTACATTGTGGAGTTTGTACTTCACACAGGCAAACAAGGGCAGAACTGTTGCTTCCAGCATTGCTGCTTGAAGTACATCCCCACGTTTCATCTACAGGGCTCCTTGCACAGCCAGGGAGAAATTACACCATACAGGAAAGTAGAAGCCATGGACAAGCTGACAGAGCCATTAAAGCAGAACCAGCTCTGCTTCTGAGCTTCTCAGTGTGATGGTCAATATGCAACATTCCCTGTTAAGCACTGGCTGGTTTGCTCTTACGATGCTATCATAGAAACAAAAAGCTTGGAAGAGACCTCTATGATCATCTAGTCCAGTTGTCAACCTATTTACACCTGTGTGTGTAAATACACAGCCATTCCTAGTGAAGAGGAAAGAAAAGAAAAGAAAAGAAAAGAAAAGAAAAGAAAAGAAAAGAAAAGAAAAGAAAAGAAAAGAGAAGAAAAGAAAAGAGAAGAAAAGAAAAGAGAAGAAAAGAAAAGAAACTCTCTTATTTTCTACCACTGACAATAAAATGGGAAAAGATGATCTGGAGAGAATTCAGAAAAGTGAGACATGTTTTCAAACTGTACGTAGCATTTCTCTAAGAAACAGAAAAAGAAACAGAAAAATCTCTTAACCCTAATCGTCAATGGAGGTGTTTAATCTGACCTCTTGGACCTCTGTCCAATTTACATTCACCAGGGTTAAATAAATAAATAAGCATTAAAAAACCCAAAGCTCTAGCACTGTCCTGCATGGAGCCAAGACCTTACGCAAAGAGGCTTAAGTCACACATACATTTCCTTTGACCTAGAGGCCAAGCACAGCTCTGTCCAGTCCCAATTATTAAGTGAAAAGACTTTCATGGCTGCACTAACTTGCATTCAGCTGCCTGAGAAATCTTTAGAAACCACTGCAAAAGCACATCATGACAGCCTGGTGCTCATGGCAACACCCTCACATGCAGCAGGGGCTGGGGAGAGCAGTCAGTGCTCCTGCCCTGGAGTTTTTTTGGGACAGCCCCAGGAAGCATCCTAGCAAGCTTCAGGTAGTGCTGCAGTGCAGGAATTACACTGAGCAGGCTCTCAGTGCCAGCCCTGGAGCTTTGGCAGCCGCTAGGACAAAAGAATCTATAAATGCAAGCCATTATCACCTTCCAGACAGCACCTACACCTTCACCTGGACTTACCTGGGGTGATGTGGAGCGCAGTGTTCCTCTCGACATTCAAAATGAACGCACGCACTATCGAATACGAGGCGTCTCGTGCACAGGGTATTGTTCTGGATTTCGGATTTCTTCGGGGTTGTCTTGGCAACAAAGAGGGTTTGCTGCTAGAGGTGTATGAAACACTGGGCAACAAAAAGCAAAGCGGTTCCCACTTGCTTCATTCCATCACCTGGTCAAACTGGACCAGACTTCAACCTGCTGGGATGCTGTTCGTGTGCTGTGTGTCAGCAGGGAGCACGGATCAGCACTGGCTTTTTCCTCCCACCAAAACACTGCAATTTGGAAAAGAGCAAAAATAACCTTCCTCTCTGAGAAATGATGTCTGCTCAGACATCCTGACCACTTCTGTTCACTTTCTCCCTTCACAATGAGGAGTACATCCCTGGAAAGCAACAGAATTACGGATGCTTTTCAGCAAAATTAGTTGGCTCGGTTTGTTGCTTGGGTTTGTTGAGTTATTTTAATTTCAGTTATGGAAATTCTAAGCAATTTCAGTGAAGCCAACGGGGTTACCTTGGGCAGATTCCAGTATAAATGAGTTTGCCAGTTAGCCCCAATTTGAGCAACTCTCATCTGCATGGAGAGAGGAGAAACTGTCCAGCAGCATCTACCCTGCTCAGCCCCTACTGAGCACACAACTTCATTCACTGCACATGAGGTCCAGGAATTACTCTGGAAAGTTTTTAAAGCATCTTTAGAGGCAATCTCACATCACTTATTCATGTCACTTGCCTTTATTTTTACTTACTGAAGGCATTAAAAAAATTAACCCAGACAGCTGTTCAAATTCCTCTACTTTTCATGTAGCAAAAGGCAAAAAAGTCTGAACAGCTGTATCAGTAAAACACAAACCAGGTGGCTTCCCTAAGGCAAAGTTTGTATGAAATCTGTAAGATAATGTTTTTATTATCTGAGTTATTGTATTTCGTTTTTATTGCTTTGCTCTTGTGGATTCTTAAAGAGGCACTGGCCATTTATTTCTCATCTTCCTCCTCAACTTGCAACATTTGAGCCCTACTGTAACTCAACACAGATGATACTGTGATATTTTTCTAGATGTGTGAAAATCACTCTTTCAGCACAATACCCCTGAATATATTTCAAGGTCTTAAATGAGATTTAAGGCTGGGTGAGAAGCAGTTTTACAGATTTGGCCCAAACCTTAAACCTTGTTCAGCCACCCAAGGCTCATCTGCTAAATCCCTTCCACACAAACCCTGCAAAGGCTGTGCTATGACTGCTATGGTGTTGGCTTGCTGATTTGTGCTTGTTTTCCATAAATTGCTTACTGATGCCTTCTAGCTCAACTTCCATCCTTGGATTAAGAACCCTGTGGGTAATACTGCTAATTCTAAATCCCAATCCAATCCTAATAAGTTATTTTGTTGAAGTTGCTTTTCAGCTTATAGAATAACAATAATGTATAGCAAAATATCTGAAATTTGTTTATTTTTTCTTTTCTTTTTTTTTGCTTAAGAAATATCTAAAAATACTTGCACATGGGAAGGACCATCTTCCAAGGGAAAACACAACAGAATCATCACCGAGTCTAAAGGAGAATTCCATTCTCCTCTAAATTATTTGCCTTTGGTATGCCTTCCTCATGTTCAGTAGGTGGATGCAATTCCCCATCTATGTACTTAGCCTGTGTTACTGCAATTCCAGCATGATATATGTTTATTTGGAGTCTAACAAGATCATGAATCAGGAAATAGCACTGTACTTTATATTATGTATTTATTTATTGTGTTAGGATGAAATTTACCTGGGTCTAGAGAACAAAATTAGGCTGTTATAGCCCTTGGTTTCAAATAAGTTATTTTCCTCTCAATGCCTATGCCCTGTGGATAGAAATTTATTTCATCTGTACTGAATAAGAATTCTTCCATTCTCTCACAGCTAAGGTAGCCTCCAGATATCATTTCTATACATTATCTCATACATCCAATTTTGTATCTATTACCTGAATGCTTGAAAATATCTAACATAATACCAACAATCACAGAGTGGAAATGTCTGCAGTTTGTGGGGAATATTTTTTGTTCCCATTCAAGCCTTTGGTAACAAAAAAAAATATCCCTGCTCATTAATTTGGTGTCTTTGGTGTCACTGTCATATTTCTGACCTTCACCCACCCCTTGGCTTCTAGGGGCTGGGTGGCCACTGGAAAGAAGGACAGTTTATGGGACTCCAATTTGCAAAATCTCAGTTGTTTTCTGAAGTGTGACAATGAGCAATGAAAAAAGACCTTAACTGGAAGATGTATTAATACATGTAAAAATAGGGGAAGTGAAGTGGAAAATTACATTACAGAATATAAGAGAGCTTGATGTATTTAATAATACAACAGTAATTATCTTTAATAATACTAAAAATATCACAAAAAATATTATGAGTGCTCTGTTAAGTGCTCAGACTCTGATTGCTGTATTTGATAACTCTGCAAGAATTTAAGTCTCAAAGTCTTTCTTTGTGAGAGCATTTTTACACAAAATGCAGGAGAGAAGTCAAACAAATGACAAACTTTTTTCATACAGAGGAGTTATAAAATCATCAAGCAAGTAAAAGTTTATTCAGTTAATTGGCAAACACCCAGCAAGGATTTCACAACACTATCAGCAGGGCGCTGAAATACTAAAACAAATAGCAAACAAAAAAAAAAGCCCAACAGCCAGCTACCAAGTGCTCAGCTCCAGAGAAGTGCTCTTATTTAAGAAATACTTTCCTGAGTATTTTTTAGATAAGTTGCTATTTATCAGCACAAAGTATGTTCTTCCTGGAAGCAAGGTCCATACAAGTTTCTCAACACATCCTAAAATTCACCATTTTCTAAGTTCTTCTTACTGAAGCACCAGGAACATAGGAAGAGTGGAAGCAACATATACAGCCATGAGGAGTACTAAAAATAAATAATATTTGTGTATCATTTAGTGACTTGAGCTAAGATAGTGAGTGGGGTGAATTAACCAGCTGTGACTTCTGTCACTACTTCATTTGGACAGAGAAATTTCTTAAGATGGATGGATGTTCACACAAAGCAGGAGCACAAAGAGGTTCGTGAAGTGCTCAGACAGTAGAAACTTGGAAAGCCCTGTAATAAAAGGAAATCAAGGTATAACCAGTGTGAAGATAATGAAAGAACAGCCACTGACATCCAATAAAACACTGCTGTAATTGTGTTGATTATGGAGCCTCCTTTGAAACAGAGTGGAGCTGAAATTCAGCTCCATGATGAATCTTTTCTTAGGAATAATCTCGAAATCTAGGAAATACTTCACCTTACCTTCCAGTACACACAGGAGTACAGCAACAATGCAAGTGTAAACACCACTGGTGCCAAATACTTCATTTGTCAACGTGCAATGATGCATTTTGTATCAGGATTACACGATAACCAAGATTAATTATAGTTATTACTGAAAGAGAACAGGGCTGTCTCCAGCAATTCCTTAACAGCAAAAAAACTACTTATTTAAAAAGCAAAACATAGCTCACAGGCTTTGTTTGCAGTGGGAAGCTCCTGCAAACAGCTGACCCACCAGTGTTCATACAAAACAAATGGTACCACAGCTGCTTTTAATCTGCTAGATACTAGAGGGTATCTCCACCCTGGGAGACAGCACCAGGTTTTTGAAGAAGGAGCTACCTGTTGATAAAGATTTTATGAGAATTCTAACTTTTCAGCAAAACAAGCAATCACTGAGTATAACCCAGATTCTCTGAAGAGTAGGGAAACATCTCACCACCATTATATAAAAGAAACTATCATCCAACAAGAATTCAAACTAAGTCTCGAGTGGCACTAACAGCATGAATTACACTACAAGGTAGCTTGGACCAACTATACCAACTGACTGCTGCAAAGGATGCCTCTGACCTATGCATTGAGGCCTGCTCTCTTACTTAGAAAGAGACAACAATCCCTGTAAAAAAGCAAAAACTCATGGCTGTCATACTCAAAAGACACACTAAGAGCAGGATTCAGCCCAGTGAAACAGAAAAGCATAAGTAACGTGTACCACCTGAGTCCTGTTGAATCCTACTGTGACAAAACCTTTTTCATTAGAAGTAAATTTCAGCAGCTGAGTAATTAGGCAGACTCTCCTTCCAACAACAGGATGAGACTTTTCTGAGTCAAATATAGTTTATAAGGTCAAAGTCATTAAGAGTGGCTGAGCTAACCAATCACGCCAAGTGAACATAGACTCATCACCACCAAGTGATGTAAAAAAAAAAAAAAAAAACCCACATCAAGAAAACCAAAGGCTTAAAATTTGGAACAGTACAGAGACTGAACAACTTTATTTTCTACACAAACAATTTGTCATAAGAAACAAAAACACTAAATGTGACAAGGAAATTCTTTTGCTGAAAATTACATGTCTCAGTTATATGATTGCACTGCTTGTGCTCCCTGCGACTCTTCCTCCTCCTGGGTTTCTATCTAGGAAACACTTTTCAAAACGTGCTGGTTCAGATACCTCTTTCAGAGTCTCAGTGTTCAAAGGTTTATTACTATAAATGCTTCTATAAACTATAAAATTTCTAAGGAAATTACACTATCATCTTTTCCTGCTGAGCCTCATCTAGGAATTTAAAATCCTCTAGTGCAGGAGAAGGCTCTGATCACAAACTTTATTTTGCTTTTCCATTAAAAGCAAAAGAGGAAAATTAAGGTGAAAAACTTCAAAGTCTGGGAAAGGAAGACAGGAAACAGCAAGACCAGAGAAGCTGAAAACCAGTACCACATTGCTGAGTCTGGAAAATACCAATGCTTGCTCAAGGCAAAGTACATCACCAACTTTGTTTTGGTACAAGAAGATAATAAATAGTACACTAAGGTTGCACAGATTTATTGTTAGTAGGGTTTGGGTTGGTTTTTTTTTCCTACCTTTCTTATTCATTTTTGAACTTGAATAATTCTAAGAGCTCAATGTTGAGCTTACCATCATGCAAATTCTCCTTACTCTTGCATGAAGTTACAGTGACCTCCAGAAGATTATTTTTCTGTGCACCAACATCACCCTTGAACATTACGATCCAAATCTGGCCTTCAAGCTTGTCACATTATATATAATATTTACATAACAGCTACTATCTAAAAATCAGCAGTTTTGATGTGATTGAGGTATTTCATTACCTCACAGGAAGTACACACAATGAATCAGCAGCAGCACATGCAAGAGATGCTCTGTCACTCAGGATTGCTATACTCAATGGCATGCTATCAAAGATAACATCCAGCTTCTGGAACAAGGAAAACAAAACACTAACTAATACAGAACATTAAAGCCAAACAGAATTTTCCCTGTTCATCCCGCCTCCAGAGAATTGCAACGAACATTACAGAAAAGGCTGAATGAAATCTTGCTGAGTCCTGCGTGCAACCCATTTGCAGAGTGATGTGAGATTTGCCTGAAGTTCAAGCTAAGCCCTCTTCATTGTTCTGACACAGAATAATAAATGTTAAGAATAAGACGTGCAAGGGAATGAACCTCTGAGATCCTAGCCTAAAGATCTGCATGGGGTCTCATACATTTATGGTAAGCATCATCACTGATGGACTCCAGAGGAGAAAAATATTACCTACAAAGCACACGGTTTACAAACTTCTTCTTTCTATCTGTACACAAAGAAGTGAAACAGAGCATTCATCTTGTAAAACTTGTAAAATTCAAAGTTTAAAGCCAAGGAAAACAACCAAGGTAAGAGCTGATCAGCAAAGTCAAATGTTCCTTTACTTAGCAAACAAGACTCTTACAAGTCAGTACTGGGTGTTAGATATGGATTTGGTTGAACAAAGATCAACTGATGAGTATGGGCTTGAATCATGTCAACATTACAGGCAACACGTGTTGGTAAGGAATTTGGTTACTAGCCATATTTTTGTACTCTGGTACCCAAAGAATGCAGTAAGTCCACACAATTTCAGTTAACTTAAGGCCCTGTGTGACCCACAGTAGCTTCTCATGAAGAACACAGTAGAAATTCGAATGCACTTTGCCCAAAAACCTGCTGGAAGCTATGGTTTCTTGGCACATTCCTACCTTAAAGCAGGGAGCCAGCAGGGGTGACAGTGGAGGTGCATTGAAGAGTTATTCAGCTCCAGGCAAAATCAGAATAGGTCTCTTCTAATGTAGACTCTGAATGCAAAATTGCAGAAGATATGACTGGTAAATACCAAATGGTTAGACATGACAAATATACACTGAAGAATATTCAGAAACAGAACAGTAATTTCATTACATTACTGACAGCATTCTAAAATATAAGACTCTGCTTTTTCTCCCAGCATTCAGTCCTGGCACACATGGCTGGATGCTCCAGGTCCAACCTCTTTCCATCTGGTCAGACATCAGAAGCAACACATAGCTCCGATAATGTGGACCTGTAGGTCTACGTGTCACCACACACAGCTAGAGGAAGTCTTTAGCTGCTGAAACACTTAATATCCTCTTAACTACTCCCTGTCCTCTTCAAGACCACAGAGGAAGAGGATGTGGGTAAAACACAACTAGCCTGGTCACAGACTGCTTGTTGGGGTCCATCATGTTAAGACCCTATATTTTGGAGCTGAAGTGAAATAATGTTTGAGAAAATTTCTGGAGATGTTCAGTCTGGGGAAAAGGAGGCTGAGGGGAGACCTTACTGCTCTTTTCCAATATCTGAAAGGTGCTTACAGTGAGACTGGGGTTGGTCTCTTCTCACTGGTGACAGGATGAGGGGAAATGGCCTCAAGTTGCGCCAGGGTAAGTTTAGGTTGGATATCAGGAAACACTTCTTTACAGAAAGGGTTGTTAAGCACTGGAATAGGCTCCCCAGGGAGGTGGTTGAGTCACCATCCCTGGATGTGTTTAAAATCCATTTGGATGTGGTGCTCAGGGACATGATTTAGTGGAGGGCTGTTAGTTAGGGTAGCATGGTTAGGTCATGGTTGGACTCGACGATCTTTGAGGTCTTTTCCAACCTGAATGATTCTATGATTAAAAGGGAAAGAAACTGAATAATTAAGAGGGAAAGAAAAATCTGGTGTGAGACACAGAATAGCTAAGGAAAAGAAGTGACAACAAGCAAGCTCTGCAGTCAAGGAAAGGGTAAAATCTTAGCCCTACCAAAGTCAGCAGGATGTTTGCCAGAAAGCTGTAGACAGCTTGTTTTATCCAGGATTTTTAATTAGCGATTAAATGATTCAATGGCAAGTTGGCTGTTTTAAGAAGGAAAGAATCATAGAATAGCTCCAGCATGCCTCTCCCTACCCACCCCTTGGGAGGTACAGATCATACACAGTTTTTATTTATAGGAGACTTGACAGGTATTTCATTGAACCTTAGTTGAAGTCTGCAGTTTCCCAGGCCCCGCCTCCTTCCCCAGTTTGGGGATGAAGATAGGAAACACCTGCTAATGACACCAGAGACATAGCAAACAGCAAAAGCCATGCGTCAGCAGAAAGTACGCTGAAAGCCTGGCTTCTCCAATACAGATTGAGTTCATCTAATGGTGGTTAGCATATATGGAAAAAATAGGATGGTGCATTCTTTTAATTGGCACAAATCTGAGTCTGTGAATGTTCCGAAGTGACAAATAAATAAGGCATTTCCCTGCTGAAGAGGCAAGTCTCTTTGTTACAAGCCCTGCAATCCAGATGATCTATTCATACCACACACATCCCTTATTTTGCATTATTTTTCTGCTTTTCTCAGTCTCCTTCTGCTTTTCCCACTCCAAAGTACATGGGTTTCTATGGAAACAAAACACGTCATTGGAATGGCCAGAACTTGGTGACATCCCTAAGTGCAGAGCGAAAATGCAATTTGAATAAGTGTTTTGCAATTTACAACATGAGCTCAGAAAGGCAGTGGGTGATTATCCTGTGCACGTGTGTGTACATGTGTTCGCGTGGGCGCCTGCCTGTGCACGCACGCACTGCCTTGTTCTGCACCATCCACACACATGCAACGCCACCGGCTTCACGGGGCAGCACGCAGCAGAAGGCTCTGCAGAATCTGTCCCATCTTATTCTGTTTTAATATAGCTGAAAATTGCTTTGACAGCTGAATAGGTTCTTTGTTTATAACTCGTTCCTCGCTGACTCTGCTGCATTATGTAGCTTTGCAAAGAGATTACTTTGTCAAGAACTGAACATATATGGTCTGAGCACGAACAGTTCAGCACGATGAACTGCATTCATTTTGTACGACTTGCAGCACTGCAGTCTTGCTGCCTTTAATGCGTTTGCTTTTCTCTGCAGGTTTTGTTTTCAGATCTTGTGTTTCTTTTAAATTTTCTTGGGGTCTTTGGGATCACCTTCTTTACCCTTTCCTGCACAGACACAGAGAATTTTCATTATGTCAATTTTCAGTATGTTGGAATGCTGTATTGTACAAAGATTTTGGCTGTACATAACAGGGATTGTCATTATTGAGTTAGCTAATTATCCACCTGCAAATGCCCTGCTGCCACCCAAAACTGCTGTGGCTTTGCTACTATTTGAATTACTATTTCAATACATCTTTGCCCAGAAAGGTGCTGGGTGTCCCATCCCTGGAGACACCCAGGTCAGGCTGGATGGGCTCTGAGCACCTGATGGAGCTGTAGGGGTCCCTGTTCATTGGGTTGGCCCAGATGGCCATTAAGGGTCCCTTCCAACTCAAACGATTCTATGGTTCCGTGAAAATGGATGCCCCAGCTTCTTATTTCACTGCTTCATCCCTAGCCTAAAAGCAGCTCTAAGTAGGCAGATCTCCTGGTCTGCATGGAGACTGCATGGACTCCTGCAGTACAGCTGTGTGTGAGTGAGTTGTTTGTCTGTACAAAGCCATATTGATAACACTAGAGCAAAACCAGACTGCATGGCGTTACTGGCAGTATCAGGGCCTTGCACCATGCACTGGGCTGCTACCTCCAGTGGTGCTTGAGCTGATTGCACTGGTCATCTCTTATCACTGTTGCTGTTTCTATGTCTAACCATGGCTTGTCCAGAAATTACGTTATTTCAGATTTACTTTGTGCCCCATCCGGCACAAACTCAGGGTATTTTTCTCTGGTTTCTTCCACTCTTCCTCCTCGACATTTTAAATAAATAATATTAATTCTGATTGGCAGATGATATGGTCCAGTGTAAAGATGACTAAAAACAATTGATTGTACTAATGGAAAATTCCTATTGACTTTGTAGTAAGCATTATACTGATCTCCTGTGGGCTGGAGACGGAGATCTTTACATAGAGTCATCACTGGGGAGGATTTCTAGGGCAGGAAACAGAGCTGAGCCCTGAAGCACATTGCATTTCAACAGTTCTGCTCAGCCCATCAGTTGGCAGATCTCCAGTTCACAATGTGCCCCATGTTTTGCACTGAACAGTGTTTCACCACTTCTCAAAATACCAGCCCTATGAAAACGGAGGGGAAGTTTGTCAGACAGACAAATCCCTCCTTATCTTTCAGTCATAACCATCATCCACTTCAGACGATTTAAAGAAATTTGCACATATTTACCTTTAAAACACAGTCAAGAGAAGTAGACTTCTTTGCAAGTTGCTGTTTGAAAACAGAAGCTGAGAAAGATTTTTCCCAACCTTATTTGCTGCCACTCACACTCTTAATGTGCATATATTCCACAAATGTTGGCACACCGTTTGCTAATTTGTTGAATATATAGATGTTTTAATTCACCATCTGCGTGGAAGTTCTTTGTACCAGAAACTAGTGGCTTCACTAATGAATTCCTTATCTTCTGCCCTTTCAGTGAATGATGGACTGCTGCCTGGAGCCTATAGGAAAAATGCCAGTGACCATGCAACATTCAGGTAATCACAGAAAGATGAAAGGCCGCACAGGCGGTTTAGGAACAAAATTGTTCTTGTTCAGGGAATTTTCAGATTTAGCAAGAAGTCATGAGATCTGCAGAGAGTCAGTAAATTTCCACAGCTGGGTTCTGTTCTTCACCCCCCCTTGTGGCAAACTCTGCTGAACCACCAAACATGTCTCAATCGGCCTGAAACCTGCAGGATCCCTTGGAAAATCCCAGACAGCAGCTGGATGGTGTTAGCCTAGGTACCAAGAAAGGCAGTGGTGATTTGTACCATCACCACTTCTGTGCTTGGTGGGAGAGGGTCGAGGTCAACAGGACAAGACGCGCAAAAGGGATTGTGCAAAAAAGAGACTGAGAGAAAAGGATATCATGGTTTGCAAGGGAGATGTAAATAGTTTCCGGGATTGGAGGGCATAGATGTACAGAAAATGAGAAATAGAGGGGGGAAGGAAGGTGTGTCATCAACCAGCAGCATGATCTTTCTGGGGCAAATAAAACAGCTTTGTGTGTGCCAAGTGTGTCCCTCACTTTCCTTTTAGAGAGTCCAATGCTGTTAAGATCCCAGGTGCTTGATTTCCATGTTCACATACCTTGACGTGCATGAATTGAAATATCTTTTTGTAAGGCAATAGCTAATAGTGAGCTAAATACATGTCACAAAGAGGGGCATCCATGGTCCACTGAGTGTCAGACTACAATTATATAAGAAAACTCACTTTTCTTTTAGAAAAGGCCAATTTTCTAAAAACCACCTTACATTTTTTGGCCCTCGAAATGGGTCCGTGCGTAACTCAGGCATGCAGCTCAGATCAGGTGCTGCAGTTTGGAGAAACAACAACATTTCAAATAGGGTATCAGTCAAGAAGGGACAAATAAAATTCAGAGGAACATGCTGCAAGCTAGAAGGCAAGTCACAACACAGCAGAATCAGGTCAATCCAGCTATCAGCGAAGTGATGAATTTACCCCATTGGCTTTATGACCTTGTTGTGTTTTCTCTCTAAGACTGCACAAGTAAATACGCCAAGACAATGCTTCTTCTGACTTTCCACTGGCTCACCGAGGTTCAGCTGACTGACTTACATCAAGTTCCTCATAGACATAAGAAGAGACCTTATGCTTCTTAACAAAGCAGGCTTGGGGGGTGCAGAACCACAGGTCCAGTTCTCAGGGCCCACATGCCAATGGACGTGGGAATCCTAACCAGGATTGGCAAATGGATCAAAGCATTTAAGACTGCATTTGCAGAGCTGAATAACTAAAGGAAGCTCAGCCATCCATAGGGCATTTCAAGTTCTCCCTCAGCAGGGCAAAAAGGCAGGAATAGGGAAGG